TTAAAAAAAGGCACCACTTTAGATAATTTAAAAGCAGTGGGAAATACACCTTGACAGAAACATTCGTTTATGAGGATTGTAAAATGGTTCAGAATGATTCCAATATTTTGCTGTTGATATCATAAGCATCATAGCTATTTGAACTTCAGCCTCCGCTACAGGTTCCAGAAAAAATGAGTTGCCTTGAACTGGCACGAATTTCAGGTAACTAGATGCATCAATGCCGTTGGATGGCAAGGAGTTTATAAGATCGTTAGCAACAGTTCCGAAATAATTATTTGAGTCATCTGGGAGAATAATGTCTTCGTTATCCGTAGCATATGAACGGTTCCTCTCGTAGTTGATTATTCTCCAACTATCTCGAACTATATTCGACGAATTTCTGATGACATCATTATAGGCTTGTCTTTTTGTCTCTATTATCATAGCTCCGTATTGATTCTGGTAATTATTGTATGCTTCTTTATCTGCAGGGTTTTTAAGTGGCAGCAACCGTAGACATAGCGTCCAGTCACGCTCGCATGTGTCTGAGATTATCATTGAACCATTTAAATGGCGTTTTATTTGAAATATTGACTTCAAATAATGGGTAATAGCGATTGACAAGATTATCTAATGAAGTAATCAGAAGATTAGCTAAATTATCAACATTAGGCTCGTGTGTATAAAAAGAGTTCCAATTTATCTGACTGAGAGAAGTAATAAACGCCTCAGTATTTCTTTTGTTGACTTTTCTTTTGTATATTATATTATTTTTCAGTTCTGGATTTATTCTGTTCAGAGAAATATACTGACCGTAATGATCTGACAATGCGCATTCAACTACTTTACTTATATACATGTTTTTGGGAAGGTCTGTTGAAATATCGATGCAACTCGACGTTGTGCTGCCAACTCAACAAATCAAAGGAAATTATGACATTCGATAGTTCTCTCATAATGGCGGATGGGTTTAGAAAGTTAACGTTGAAATCACCCAAGATAATGACATTTTTATAAAGTGGATGTAAATTATTCAGTAATTGTTCAAACATAGTTATGAATGTATTAAAATTACCTGTGCATGGTCTGTATAGTACTACAATAAGTAATTTTTCGGAAGTAATTTCAATGCTACAAAACTCGCAATCCATTTCCTTACAGTATTTCTGCTCATTTATCGATTTCATTCCAGCAACATTCTTTCTTAAAAAAATAGCAACACCGCCATGCCCATGTTCTTGATGACAAAAATAAGAAGTCAAATTGTAATCAGTTAGATTAACAGATTTTATTATATCAATGTTAAGCCAGTGTTCAGAGAGGCAGACGACTTTGTATTTATAATAATCTAAAAACAATGATAGTTCATCTATTTTGTTTGACAGAATTAGATATTAAGGTGAAAAATTGTTAACTCACTTGTATTTATGATAGGTGGTTGAGGATTATTAACACTGTTCACTTGATTTGCTAAACTTGAGGCGCAACCTGACTCAATCTCGGATATAAAAAATCACCCAGGAGACCTACTTGATTTGAAGAATCATAGGAAGTATCATTCGTTTGCGGCTCGTTAACAAAAGAGGCAGAAACTGGATTCGGACACGTTATCTGTTTGTTAAGGATTCCCCTATGATCTTTTCCTTGACAGGTTAGTCTTCCAAAGTGGATACTGTTCATTGATATTCGCTCAGCTACCTTGGTGGCAATGTATCTTTTGCCGGTTTTCATCAACAGTCCACCAGCTCGATTATAATTAGTTCGTTTCAATAGGCTGTTAACCTCTATAATTCGATGAAGGTCGATACTGTTCGCATGCATTTCTTTATATAGTGTTATGTTGTTGTTATATATAACATCATTTGTGTTAGAATTGTTAAATCGATAATGGGGCGTTAAAATTATAGGATTTGTGTGTCGGAGTTTCAGATAAGTCTTTTACCAGGTACGAACCCGCGATTTTTGTATATCCCCTCGATTGATTCAACACAGTAGTCAACAGCTCTTGGTTAGACGCCTTAGGTTTTATGAATGCATGAATATAATACCTATCTAATTTATTTCACAGTAAGTGACATAAAAACTCGCCATTTTCTGCTGTGACTATTAAAACTTTTGGCTGTTTATTTGGAGATATCAACTCAGGAATTGTATAAGATAGTTCATTCATCGTATGAGGTGCAGTATCCAGAGATCCCGTAATATGTAATTCTTCATAGGTTTGAGTCAACATGGTTCTGGACATTGTCTTCTCGGTCTGCGTAGATGCAACTCTGCAATCTTTTTCTGTTATTTGTGAAATGACATTTCTCAAACGAGCTATTTCTCCATCAGCCTTGTCAAGTAACAGTTTTTGTTCAGATATAAGTTCGTTAAATTCATCTTCTCTCTGTATTACTTCTTCCATAAACTTATCATGATCACGTTTCATGTTCATAATATACTTATCTTTTTGGTTTGAAGTTTTTGTTAGCTCATATATTGTGTCTTCCAGTATACTTTTGTCTGCATTATAATCATTATTTTCACCTTCACAGCATTTAATTTTAAATCCTTCCAAGAAAGTATATTTCTTTTTATTTTTCAATGTACAACTTCTGTGATAAACTTTAAAGCAATGGACGCAGATATGGTAACTTGATGGAAAAGTTACAGATTTACAACATTGAAAATTTGTCATTTTTCCAGTGACTGCCATAATGCACACAATGAAATATATATATAAAGTCTATTCAACTTAGTTGTGTAGATATGCCCGAGGAGCGAACACACTGTTATTTAATATACTTTGAAAATATTTAAATAAAACACAATATTCAAAAACAACGTATTGTATTTAAAAAGATGCAATTTAAACAACACAATTAAACTCAATAAAATTGATGCAATCACGATGCACTTCATACTGATTCTGAATATGCATCTGCATCAAAATAGTAAAAAGCATTTGTAACAGTTTATGGTCCTTTGATCAATACCATTGCAGATTCCAGCAAGCCACTAGGCGATCACGCGCAAAATCATTGTTTATATAGGCTGAATTCCAATTTGAAATATACCTTAGTTGTATCAGTAGGCTTAGACATACAATTTAATACAATACAAAAAGTTGGAAAAAAATAACCTATACATAAAACGACTGATAAAACTCAGATTGAAAATTTCAGGCCAATCACTGTTATTAGTGTTTTTGAAAAAACTGATGAAAAGTGGGTGTCAAACATGGTCATTTCTTTTTTTTTTCTTCATGAACCCTCCAATACAAATCAATTTGGCTTCAGAACGGGGCCGTTGACAAGTCATGCCATAATAACATTTCTTAATGAACTATATAATCGTCTACACGAAGAAAAGAGAACCTTTGGTGTTTCCTTTGATGTTAGTGAGACATTTCATTTAGTTGACCATTAAATCCTACTAGACAAATTACAAGTGTATGGATTTAGGGTCATTTTATATAAAGTATTTGAAAGTTACCTATGCAGTAGAATTCCATATGTTAAGATAGAGAATTTCAAGTTTATGAACAGGAATTATTTCATAAAAATGTCAGAAGGTTCTTTTGGGATCATTGCTTTATTTAATCTAGTCAATGAGTTTGCTGGTAATTTTCCTGCCTATTCTGTCCGCAGAAAAACTTTAAAAGCACATGATTCATTTTTTATTACTGAATTAGTCTGCAATAATAAACATTTTTTTTGTTAGATTTAGTTATCCCCAAAAAGGTATGAATTTCATCAGTTCGGACTTACATTGTTTAATATGATATAGAATGATGTGAAATCACTGAAAGAATCAATAAAATCAAAATGAATAGCTGAAAATAACAATTATATTAAGCAGAAAAAAACCTGAGATGAAATTATAATAAAATAAAAACACAAGCAACAATTGAAAATCAAACACTAAAAAAGAAACATAAAAATTAAAAAAACTCAAGCCAACTTACTTCACGATGCGATGTTTCGAATGTTAGTATCCACAATCATCTTTGGGTCAACACTTCGGTTGATGACCCAATTTTCAATTTTTTTTTCAGTGTTCAATTTTCAATTGTTGCTTGTATTTTTATTTTATTGTAATTTCATTTCAGGGTTTTTTGCTTAATATAATTGTTATTTTCAGCTATTCATTTTTATTTTATTGATTCTTTCAGGGATTTCAAATAATTTTATATCATATTAGACAATGGAAATCCGAACTAATGAAATTCACCATGAAACATTGTCAATCATCCAAAAGGGTATAATCTTAGTTTACTTTCAAAATCAGCAAATGGTTCTTTAAAAGAAGTAACTTCAGTTAAATTTTCAGGACTTGACCTCACAGATGATTGTAAGTGAAATCATCATATAAACGAAATTTTCAAAAAAATATCTCTAATATGAACTGTCTCTATCGACTCGATAAAATTGTGGACAAATCTGTGTCACTCATGTATTATCGTGCACATTTTTACTCTGCAATCTCGTATAGCATATTAGCTTGGGGTTCGTCTAGTGAAGTGCAAAGGGTGTTTATTTTACAGGAGGCAGCTGTCAGAAATATTTGGAGTGAGTAGTTGCACAAGCTGTTTGAAGTTTTGAAAATTTCAACTTCACCTTATATTTTTATTCACCAGCTGCTGATCTATATGATATCAGACAAACATTTTTGTTCCATTAAATGAAAACAAATTTAATACAAGAAATTCAACTTTACTGGGTACATTACTCGATAAATTGTCAGTTTATGTTAGAGAAATGAAACTGTCGGAATTCAAACAGTATGTGACAAAATGTTTAATTGACAAAGCCTATTACTCTGAATGAGTAATTGAAAAATGTTATGTAATGTAATATATTGGTTAAAATCTGCATGTGTTTAAAAAGAATTCCAACACAGTCTCCAAATGTGAATCAGTTAATTGTTATATATAATTTTCAATTTGATATATGACTTTAATCATAATTTCATTTGATTGTTTTACTCAACTATTTTTTTACATCTTTAATTTTTACTAAAATATGCATACATACCTTCCAATTTATTCGAATAACTTTAGCGGTCAGGTCTTTTTTCAGTACAAGCTGTCTAAAGGCTTTGGTTGACTCCCGAGTCCAAGGAGTCCCTTTTTCTGGTGGGCAAATATTGGCAAGTCTGCAGCGTATTGCTTGTGCTGGTAGATTAGAGAAATTCTCGTGCAAGAAACATAACTCTTTAACAGAAACTTTCGCAACCGTTCCATAATCAATAAAGACTATCTGTAAATAAAAAAATTAGGTTTTATAATATGAAAATCTATTCTTATTATTATCATAGAGAAGCAGTACAAGCTATTCGCCGTCTTGTACCACAACGGCAAAGAGACCAACAAGGAACACTACTTAACCAATGCCTTCCACGTCGGCTATAACTGTTGATTGAGGTACAAACACATGCTGAAGCCTCAGGGAACGCCAGTTTCTTATTTGTTCTACAGGGGCAGCGATACGATCCGACCTAAATAACGCTCCCCTAGGGTGATGAGCTTACTCAGCGTCTGATATCGTACGGAAATTCTTTGTCGAGTTTTTACCGAATTTGATTTTTTGTTGGTTTTTAGTAGATTGTTTATTCCTTTATTCTGATGTAATGTAACTTCTATTTTATTTTCCTGTTCGATATATTTTCCTTAACATTCATAATAATCAATAATTTCAAAAGATATTCGAATTGAAATTACATGAACATATTATGAAAAATATATCATAATTTATGACAATGAAAAAAATGAATTATGAAATTAAAAAAAAACACGAAATATTTCTACAGAAATGTTCAACCTGCAGTCAGTTTATGCCTTGAGATTGGTATATGCAATTCTTAAATTCCCTGCAGAATATCTTGTATTGTATCCAGAGTAATTTTCTCAATTTTGTGTCTAAATCTCAAAACTTCAATGTTGTGAGCAATGTTCGTGTACACTTTTAATTTCACATGACTCCATGAAAAAATAATCAACAGGAATAACTATATCGCACATAGAATAATATACTTGAATAGTTAGAAAGTTGCTCGAATTTCTGCTTTAGTTTAACCACATGGTTATGTGTGGTCCTGACTCACAGCCAGACGAGAGTAATGCAGTCATACCTCATTATCTCTTCATTTTCAATATTACATAACTCGGCCCAAAGAGTGCTTCATTATCATCTACGGCACTTTTATGGCCGTAGATGCCATAAACGTTTTGCTCTGATGGTCTTCTCGACCATACTATATACGATACTATAACAATTTTCAATTGAAGGTAACTCATATACAAATTGAACTGGGAGCTAACGGCAACAATGTTAAATGTTAGAACTAAATTCTTACCTAGGTCATTTTCATTGTCTATGCATCGCCATTATGAATGATTGAAAAGTAAGATGATTCCATAAAATTTGCCCCCCGTAACAAGATAGCTTCTGCATATCGATAGGATGTACGAGCGAATAGGTGAAACAGTTCGTTAAATACTTTGAAACATCGGTAAACTGATCAACACTTCGCAGGTCTATTATATTTGCGTCCTTAAAATGCGATAATTAGTCATTCGGTTTCTTCATTATCAAGCGTCCTTATCTGCATAGGCGTAGTGTGTTCTGTTTCTTGTGAAAGTGATACCAAAAGTGATACCAACTTGCGATGCGATACCAACTTACTACGAATACACTTTTTTCCTGAAAAAATTTCAGACCTGAAAAATTCCGAATTTGTCTCACTTCTTATGGAAACACCCCCGTATCTTCCGTAATATTCGAGGTGAAACGATGAATCTCTCAGGACTGATGGAAATGCTCAAAATGCACCTAACACCTGAATGGGGTTGGCCAAAGTGATATACACTGTCCGCCACTCATGGAAACACCCCCGTATCTTCCGTAATAATTGAAGTGGATTTTTTTTGGTTTTTTTTTTGGTTTTGACATCAAAACATGAACGAAATTGTTTAAGAGAAACTAGACTTTTGTTTTCACATAATTTATTAATTTTTTATTTTGTTGTCAGGAAAGTTATTCCTTCTCAATAAGAGAGAAAATGGTAATTTTGTAAGAGGAACGGAAACATGTAATCAGTGAGGTTTTAGGGTGGTTAATGTTAGTTCATATTCTCATTTTCCCATTATTTAAAAAAAAAACAAGGATATTTTGTGGCGAAAAATGTTATGTAGTTCAAAATTCTTTCGAAGTACAAAACAATCAATTTCAAATGATTTAACTGTTGACAATTTTATATTTTCGTGCCTTCTATGAAATTTCCCTGCAATCGAACACATTTTTCTATGCGCCTTCCATTTCCTCCAACTCTTCTCAGTTCTCTAGGTGTGATTTCTCTACACGCTTGTATAGTTCTTGCGCGGAGATCTTTCTTATTTGTTGGCCTATCCTTATAAACTTTATTTTTCAAGTTTCCCCATAAATAAAAATCCAGTGGAGTTAAATCTGGGGATCGTAGTGGCCATACTACGAGAGGCGGATTTCATCTCCTTCGTGCAAAGTATGTAAAAATTTGGGTTTGAACGCATGCATTTTATGCCTCTTTGAACACCTCCATATTTCACTGCGTTTCATATTGAGTTGTAGCGATAAGTTTCTCAAACTAATTCTAGGATCAGCTTGATGAGCCGCCAATATCGTATCACCATCAATTTTTATGTCCTCTGTTACTTGGCCGGTGCTCACGAATAGATTATATATTTTATGTACAGTTCCAGGATGTACAGCTACCTCTAGCGGGTGTCTCCTATTAAATTCAGCGGCCGCTTCACGATAAGACCTCACGCCTTCACCAACAATTAAAACAATTTCAATTTTTGCTTGAAGTGACAGACGTGCCATGTTGAACTTTGTCAATTTGAGCAACTGTTTTCCATGGTCATTTCAGGGCACCGCATGATTCAATGAAACTGATGTAATTCAATCCCTTCAAATGATTTCAGACAACAATTCAGCAAGTAGGTAAAATAATCTAAATTCTACCTGTTCACCGAGTGCGATTTTTTCTTTAAAAATTAACAGTTGTTTCGGTGTTGCAATGAGCATGAAGATTAATTTTGTTTCGGATGGTGAAATGTTTCCTCAATATTTTGATAAAGGACCCCGCACATTTCTTATGAGAAATGGCTTGCCTTGAATTAATTTTGCCGAAATTTTGATATGTTGTACTTCTTGATGTGCTGATTGAAAGTGTCCACAGCCAAAGCTCAGAATTGTACAGTTTTCGAGATTTGAACCTTTGAATATAGATTTTTTCCATTTTTTGCAGTTTTTGCTCATCAATCGAAAGCTCTCACTCCTGGTTGGGATAGAATTTGGATGTTCAGCAACCAGAATTAGTTTTACGAATAATCTTCAGTTATAATAGATGCCGCCATCGATAATTTTTCATACACTGCTTCACACTATCTCGATAATCAGAGAATGTGGTGCTGTGACATTTTCCTCAGATAGGCTCAAAATGGATGATAGCATCTCACAGTATTGAGAGTTTCATCGTTCTACCTCGAATATTACGGAAGATACAGGGGTGTTTCCATGAGAAGTGAGACACACTGTATATAAATCACAATGTATGTAGAATTCAGTTTGTTAGTGAACACGCTTGAAAAAGATACTGTGCAGCGAAGCACGTGTTGCGGATTTGTTAATCTGTTCTAGTGAAAATCTCACAATAAATTGTTTTTCAAAATACATCAACTTTAAAATAGTTTTTGAGGTAAATAAACAACTGACAAATAGCTGAATAATATCATTGAATTTTATTATTTTTATAGTATTAAGATGGATGCCGTAGCAGGTCCAAGTAATGTACAAAGAGAGCGGAAGTTTATGTCGTTAGAAGAAAAACAGATTGCCTGTAGAGTGTACGAAAATTTAAAAAATACTCTCCCTACAGTGGAAGCTGTAGCCCAGTGTTCATTTTTAACGGGAATATCCGTGTCGACAATTGAACGCATTGTACGTGAAAAAAAGGTGACTGGGAATGTGCAAGCTCCAAAAGTACATTGTCGTGGTAGAGAAAAAATTGAATTGGACGAGTACGAAAAATTTTGTACGCTATACCATCCATTCTTTCTTTTTTAGGACCTTCATTCATAAGGACAAAGGTAATGGATAATGATCTCATTCCAAAAATGAGCAAAGAGAAGTTAAGGAAAATAATAAAAGAAGATTTAAAATTTATATATGCCAAACGATTCCGTAAATCTGTCTTATTAGAAAGAGAAGATATAGTCTTATGACGACGGAGATATCTTCGCTCAATTAGAGAAATGCGTTCTGCTCACAAAAAGATTTATTTATTTTGGTACGCCTCTGCAGAGTTGGTAAGAGGATTATCCGTTGATCACTTCAAGTGCGACGTTGCTAATTAATCACCTTCAATTGAAAATTGTTAAAGTATAGTACTCGTTCTCTCCCCCATATTTAACAAAGGTCACAATTTATAGATGCATGTGTATTTGAATAGTCGATAGCGATCATTGTTAGTGTTGCTCTTTGTAGTATGAATAATCGTTTGAATTCATATGTTCGATTCTATGTTTCTATTCCAGTATAATTTACAGATAAAGAGGCGAAGATAAGCGAATTTTTTTTTTGTTTCATGAATAATTTAATTTCCGATTTTTTGTACAAATTCATATTTAATTTGATTGAATTAGGTGAAAGGTTATATATTTCGACTGATAAATAAGTGAAACATCTTTGTGCTATATCGCATATAGTTTTCAAAGTCTGTTGTGATATTTTCAAATACAGGACTTTTTTATTTTTGAGAGAGCTTGATATTGTAACTTCTACCTTGTGTCTACAATAATATACAATTAGATAAATGTTTTTGGGATTCTTTAGATCATTGCTGCTGGTTGATTCGGTTTGCTCTCAGTGAAATACTCACAAAAAATATTTGTAATATTTTTCACATCTTTTGTTATAACTTCCTCGTCTGTCAATATTTGACTGATACCTTATGATGGTCTTTGTGTTATCAATTTCTCTAATTGTCTTCTACAAAGAATTGGAGTCATTTTTGTTATTTATTTTTTTCTGAAAATATTTTTCTCTTGCCCTTTTAATCAATTCAGTTAATTTATTCCCATGAACTTTGAAATAATCAATGTGTTCTACCGTTGGGTTCGTTTTCATAATTTATAGAGATTTTTTTTTCTTATCAGAATTCATCAAACAGTCAACATATTTCTGGGTGTTTTTTTTTTATTTCTATTATTTTGT